ATTATATATATATATATATATATATATATAGTGTTTCAAAAGTGGAGGTTGAGGAGCAATCATTGGAAATCCAAAAATAAGAAAAAAAGTTGGTATGAAGATCTGAAAATGCGTTGTTTTCGAACGATTATCATTGTTTTTATGTTAAAATTGCTTTACTTTCAGAATTGAAAGAAAAAAAAAACGGTCTTCATGAGTTTTATAACATAATTAAAATTAAATAAAATGGCTAGCATTAAGATGCACTACATATATAGTCTAGCGAGAAATGATGATAGAATTGATGTCAAATCGATGTCGATTTAATATCGATTCCATTATCGATTGCTCACTGAGAGCCTGCTTAGCATTTCTTGACAGAGATCAGGATTTTACTGCACATTCTGAATAGTGCTAAAGCAACTTGCAATTTTTATTTGACTTTAATTACGTTATAAAATTCATATTACGTTATAAAGACCATATCTTCTTTCAATTTTGATAAAATTCGAAAGCAAAGCAATTTCAAATTTCAATGTAAAAATAGCGATAACTCGAAAACAACGCATTTTTGGATCTATATCAACTTTTTTTTGTTTTTGGATCTCCATTTATCTCCCGAATAATTGATCTCGACTTACGGAACATCTTGTACACTTTCTTTATATAGACGAAATTGACGAGGAAAGTATTAACCTTATCTACGACTGATTTATCGAAAATCTGATACTAAAACATATATTTCTTTCTAAGTCTAAGAGTATTTTTCAAAAGCGCGCTACTGCGGAATGTCCTTTTCCTTTTCTCATTATGTATTCACCGAAGTACGTATACATTTCTACTGACGTTAATCGCACAGTTCGATAGAAGACAGTGTAAAGAGGCACGAAGTATATCAGAGGACTGTACATCTTTGCTACTATTTGCAATCCTTTCTCCGCAACCTTATTCGAAAAGTATTGCTAATGTTTAAGATATGTTCACGCCCAGTGACCGATTAAAAGAAGAAAAAAAAACGGATGAAACGATAGCCTAATTTAAGTACTCCGGTGCCAAGAGATGAGGGTACCACCCCGCCGTGTATATATTAAGCAAAGTTAAATGTGTACGTCGAAGGATAGAAAGAGGAATGCAACATGTTTTCTATTACACTAGATTTTAAAGAATACATGCAACGATCAAAGATATCCGCGACACATCTAGCCATAACTGAACTTACATATTTTCTAAGCTATTTAAAAAGAAAAGAAAGATTCACAATGTACTATTGTGACTTTTACCGCGCTATAAGCGGGAGGAGGGACATAGATATCTGGAGCTGAAAGTCCAAATTTCAAAGTTCTTTGAAGTATGGTGTAATAACTGTAATGTCGAAAAAAGTCTCGAAAAAAAGAAATGAAAAGTTTTTAATATAAGGATAATATATAATGTAGTATGACAAGTCTCGAAAAATCGAAAGAGAATCGAGCGCGAGCGGTAAGGGTTTATTCAGACAAATTTGCATAGCTGCATAACTATATGTATAAAGAAAATTATTCGCATTTCTAATATCCGCATTTCTTATAAGAATACACGTAAAATGCGATTGGATAATTTCCTTTGTGTATTTGATTATATAGCTGTGCAAATTTCTGATAAATCCTCTCAAATCTCCTTGCAAATCTCTCGATTTCCTTGTCCCTCCTTAGATGTAGAATTTTTCGAATGTGCAATGTGGGAAGTAACTAGTACCACATAAGGATATTAAAGTACTTGTAAAAATTAATTATATGTATGTACATACATATATATATACATATTTATATGTGTGTGTTTGTGTATATATATGTATGTATAAATATAGATAATGCAGCTTTCTTTTATGTTTTTTTTATTCAAAAATTTTATTGTAATTGTATTCATTGCGTTTTTATGAGATCGAATTTGATTATACGCCAAGGGTGACCGAATCTTACTGAATAAAGAATATGTTAGCATAAATATTTATATTTAATCCTTTATACCTTACGAAAAATATATGCTAATTATATAAAAATTTTCTGTCAAGAGCTCTTAAATTTTGTATATATATATATAAATATATAAGATATATATATTTTTGCAAAAA